TATAGTGTGCCGTTTTTGGTCGAAAAAAACCACCATGTATAGTAGGGCGTTTTTAGCCGAAAAAAACGACCATGTATAGTACGGCGTTTTTAGCCCAAAAAAACGACCATGTATAGTGTGCCATTTTTGGTCGAAAAAAACGACCATGTATCGCAAGGCGTTTTGAGCCGAAAAAAACGACCATGTATAGTATCCCGTTTTTGGCCGAAAAAAAAACGACCATGTATAGTATGACGTTTTTCGCCGAAAAAAATGACCAAGTATAGTAATTGGCAAGGGGAAACAATAAACCCGATTTCGCTTTCCATATCAGCTAACAGCAGTAAGAATCATTGTAAAATTCGACCGCAAACTCGCAAGAGGCTCGCGGCCGTCGTCAACGGTGTTGATAAGGTCTGAAGGGCGCCGTCTACTGGTGACCAATAGGAATGACAATCGCTCACATGTACCGTTATAAAGTGCTTCCCTCAGCCCTCTAGATTTCTATTCTTTGCCCATGCCCTCGGTGAATTGTACTCGAAGCAAACTGAATGAGAATAATGACGATCAAAGATATAGCGCAACAGCTCTGATCACAAGCTGCAATTGCAGACTGCTGAGCGCTCACAACTTCCGCTGACGTAGTCACGCGCCACCGTAGGTTAAAGATTTACCTGCTTTATTTTATTTTATTTTTTCAATCTTTCTTTGAGAAAATGAGACTGATCGGATGATTAGGGTGCAGTGCAGTAACGCAAAACATATATTACTAACATGTACAAAGACAGACAAATGTTTTGGTTTTTTTTTTCTCCTCTACACCTTTCGGATCTAATTGGGACCAGTCCTAGATCTACTGGTCGATCAGGATCGACGCAATGGGCACCCCTGCCTTAGTCTGTCTGTGGCTACGCAGACGCGCTTGCTTTACAAACGACACCTGATAAATTACCAGAGTTGAATGAGTACGACTTTTCCTAGTGTCTTTTTTATTTTGTGTATTTTTATATCACGTTTCGAAGTAGAATATGAAAGTACTTTTGCCGCCTCTGCTGATTGGCTGCTTGATCCCATCAAATTCATCGCGGGGAAGGGGTCGAGTCATGAAGTCATTTGCACATGCTCTTCATACAATTAATTCAGTGAGGTCAAAGGTTTGTGAGGACGGACAGCGCTTGTCTAATTTGAACTATCCGGGGGTTGCGGGGACTTGCTTCCACTTCCTACGACGTGATTGCCTCATCAAGTGCGAGTCAACATGTAAGGAGGTGGAACTGCTGACCGTATTCAACATTGTTTACACATCAAATAAAATAAAACAAATCTGTGCTGAGCTCTTTTATTGTCATTGGTTGACAAGCGTGCATTAAAGTCATCCCTGTGTATACAATCGTAATGCCATGACTGACAAACTGGAAGAACAGTGGGCTTCTCCCCTCTTGCACGCGAAGAAGTTAGACTTCCATCAGGGTGACTCGTCGAGGAGCACCGAGAATTCAAATTGGCAGTCGTCACAGAACTCACGAGTTGCATTAATGATGAGCTATGAGAGAGCAAATATTTATAATGAGAGAACAAGAATGTGTACTTCGGTGCTGCACGTGTCAGGTATTGCATGCACTTACGTGTTGGAGTATTTCTGGCATAATAAGTGGCAGGGTAAAATTACCCTGAGCTTTGACCTGCAGGCACACTGTTGAGAAATATGAAAAAAAAAAGAAGTTAAGTCACGGAAACTACCTACCTCCTCCCCTTGTCTCTTATGTTGCACATACACGACTTGCTTGTGCCTCTGAAGGAAACAATGTACTAGCATTCACTGGAAGAATGTCCCAGCATTATATTCGTCAAAGATTCACAAATGTTCTTTATCAATAGTATATGCAATCATCTACATTCATTCAGAAGTAAATCAGAAAAAACTCTTTCTAGCAGAACTGAATGGCCCGAACAGAAGATAGATTGGAAACTGCTATTTTGTCTTATTTTGTTTTAAAGTATTGTCCTAACTACCTGTAATAATAACAGCAAGTGGAATAACATCTATTGTAGACACTTTTAGGTCTACCTTGGGAGACTTTTCACAGTATTTTTCTAATTCTACATACAACAGGATACGCAACCATTTGGAGATGGTGATTTACTGGGCACAGCATTGCTTCTTGTTTTTGATGGTGAGCAAGTGGATTTGCTTCCAGCAGTTGCCAGTACAATGCCTGTGTGTGTGTGTGTGTGTGTGTGTGTGTGTGTGTGTGTGTGTGTGCGTGTGCGTGTGCGTGTGTGTGTGTGTGTGTGTGTGCGTGTGTGTGTGTAAGTACCTGTTCCTTCAAACACGTCATCTATCAACAAAAGACAAAATTAGATTATTTTGGATGTGAGAGGTTGTAGTCAAAATTGTCCAACACAAAAATAAATATATAAAAATATAATCGAACAAAAAACAAAACATTTGTCCTAAATTTGTTTAAATTCTGAAATCACAATGTCTGCGCATGGGTGATTATTATTTTTTTTTTTTAGAACAGACCTCATAGGTATGCTCCTTGCCTCCCACCCTCCTGTGTGTCTAACTGCTCACCCCTCCCCTCTCTGCTCAACTGAGCACAAGGAAAAAAAAAGACACGAGATTCATCTCATGAGTTTCAGATTTAGCGCTACATGTAAGCAACAATCACATTGTGCCCTGCTTGTAAGTCCCCTAAAAAAAAAATAAATAAAATAAAAAAGCTCATGAGCAGTGATGGAATGTTTCAGCGGTTATTGAAACCTTGACTTTTTCAACCACGGTAAACCATGAAACCATTTTACCTCATGGCAAGTTACCTACTGGGCTGGGAGAGGCTGATAGACTTATAAAATGCAAGAAAATGTGTTATTTGTTCAGTTATTTTAATTTTTGAATGTACAGTATCACCTTATCTATACATTTGGCATTTGGTCTTGCTTTCCTTACACGAGGAAATGACGCTTCCTCGGGTCGACGAGGAAGTGACGCTTCCTCGTGTCGCTTTCCATTGTGAGCAGATGTGTTCAATAAACTT